TTATGGGCATATCTAAGGCTAATGCTCTAGGATTTTGATTACATGCTTGTAGAAATCTAAACCAATCTTGTATTCTTTGATTACTACCTTGAATCCAAGCAATGTTATCTCTAATTCTTTTAATATGACCTGACATTGATTTTAAACCGGACTTTACTATTAAATTAATTATATGACATGCACAATGTTGGTGGAAAATATCATTAATCCGAATAAACTTAAATCATTTTCAAAAAGTTCTATTGCTTTAGTATTTGCAGTTGCATTATCTAATGTTATGACCATTATTCTATCTCTTGAACTATATTTATCAATAACAGATAAAATTGTGTTATATATTAAATTGGCAGTATGTGATCCTATAACACATTTGAAACCTAAGATTCTCTTATCCAAATCAAAACCTTTATAATAATGTCCGGTTACAGTTAAATAATCCTTGTTGGCAACGACGGACCAAATATCCGCTGTTAACGCAACGCAACCGCTAGTATAGTGTAGAAGGTTGATTAATGCTTCCTTTTCTTGTTTATATAATTTTAATGCATCTTTCCTAATAGTAGTTCTAGAAAAAAATTGTGCATTAGGATTATGTACAATTTTAATATAACGCTGCCAATTTCTTTGTTTAGTAAAACATAGTGGTTGATCTAATGTGGCTATTAATCGTGTCATTTCCATACGATTAACTTGCGGATCGTATTTCCACGTGCTTAGACCGCCGGTTTGGCGGTCAAACGATAATTGCGTTTGGCGGAGATCAGCTCCACCTCCTTGCTTTTGAAGACACTTTTCAGAGTGTCTTCTTAAGTGTGTAGTGCCGTGAATAGTATTACCTTGTAATTTCTCACCACAATATTTACATTGAGCTACGTATTTAATGTTACCGTTATTGTCGACCTCCTCGAATGTGTTAAAGTGCTCCTAAACTGCTGAGGTGCGCTTGCATTTCTTTTTAGAACTTGCAACACTTGCACTAGCACTACCGCTTGCCTCTCCTCCACGGCTACTTGTGCCACCACCATTATGTCCCCGACCTCTAGTACGTCCCCCAGAGGTCGGATTTGTAGTTTTATCAGCAACTCTTTACATAGTTTGTGATTCCTGCGTTTGAAATACATTAAGAAATTGCCCTTCTTCGATGTTGAATTGGGCATCAATGGGAATATCACCACCATAACCAGACGAAGCCATTATGAAAAATAAGAGAGATTGAGAGTGCTTTGAGAGAGCTTAAGAGAGATCGAGAGAGATTTAAGAGAGATTAAGAGAGATTTGAGAGAGATTAAGAGAGATTAAGAGAGATTTGAGAGAGATTTGAGAGAGATTAAGAGAGACTAAGAGAGATTAAGAGAAATTGAGAGAGAATGAGAGTTTTTGGGTGAGGAAAATGATTGGGGGCAGGGGGGGTATTTATAGGAAAATTTTTGGGTTGAAAAAAATTTTTTTTTTCCCAAAAATTCGGGTCCAACGGCTAGTATATTTTTCGGGCAATTCGGGCACAATTCGGGCAGGTTGGGCAATAGTAAGAAATCCGACCGTTGGGTTCAAATTTTCGGGCAAAATTCGGGTTCGGGCAAAAAAGAACCGTTTTGTTCAAAATTCAGGCATTTTTCGGGCTAACGGTCAAAAAATTCAGGCATTTTTCGGGCAATGGGCAAATTCGGGCAACGGTCAAAAATTTTCAGGCAAAATTCGGGCAACTTCGGATAATGCCGGAAAATTCAAAAAAATTCCGGCGAACGGCGGGGGACGACTTCTCCACGGTGGCGGGCAGTCGGGGGAATGAATATTTTCAGGCTGCCCAAGCTCGTACCCGAAAAAAACCATGGTCGGGCAGCGAGAGGCCACTGCCCGCCGTGCCCGGATGCCCGAAAATTTTCGGGCAGCGGGCATGCCCGCCGTTCGAAGTTGCAACACTGCTAAAGACAGACAATCCCTACATTCTTATTCTACCAAAAAAAAAAAAAACTTTTTACAAGTATCTACTATGACTTTTTTGGCAAAATATTTGAATTTTAGGGTTGTTTTTAGTTTGTTCAACTTTAAAAACTCTCATTTTATTCTCAAAATTTTGAATTGTTCTTATTAATTGCTTTTGATGTAGTTTTTATTAAAAACATATAGAAAAAGAAAAATTAACTATGATCATATAATTTTTATCTAGTTTTTTAACAAAAATCTAAAGGTCATGTGATTGTATTCTCTTTTTTTTTTTATCTATTTTTAACATAAATTATAATAAAAGTGATTAAGTGAGAAAAAATTCAAAAGACAATGACAATGTTTAGAGTTAATAAAATAAATTAAAAATAATTTTAAAATTTAAAAGATAAATTAATAATGACGCAAAATGTAAGAAATAAATTAGGAATAATACTAAAATTTAAGAGATAAATTAAAAATAATTTTAAAATTTAAAAACACTAGTAATAATAATCCTAAATATTACAATGGTCCAATTGCAATTGTGCCTTCTCATTTTCAGTCCTCTTAGTTCCGGCCAACATTGGGCAACATATCAAATTTCAGTTAAAACTGTGGGAAGTAATTCCTCTGATCAAACCCAGTCATGCCCAGGAGAGACTGAAAAAGCCATGGGCAAGGCTTGTCGCAGGGCCGAACGGAGAATCCTCCGCCTCCTCCACGGCCACAAAACCCGGAAACAGCTCCCGGAAATTCACGCCCACTTCCTCCGCCACCGTCTCGACCAGTCCAACCAAGTCCTCGCCCACTTCGTCTCTGTTTGCGGGTCTGTGAACAAAATGCGGTACGCGAACAGCGTCTTCAGCCGCTCCGAAAACCCTAATATGTTGCTTTTCAACTCCATGATCAAGGGCTACTCCGTGTGCGGCCCCTTTGAGCAGTCTCTGCGATTATTTTCGGTCATGAAAAGCCGTGGCGTTTGGCCCGACGAGTACACTTTTGTGCCGTTGCTCAAGGCTTGTTCGAGTCTGCGCGAGTACCGGACAGGTCAGTGCGTTCGTTCCCAAGTTTTTCGAGGTGGGTTCGAGTGTTTCGGGTCAATACAGATTGGGATTGTTGAGTTGTGCGTGAGTTGTTTGAGGATGGATGATGCAAAGAAGATGTTTGATGAAATGCCTCGCAGAGATGTGATTGTTTGGAATTTGATGGTTCGCGGATTTTGCAAGGCTGGTAATGTTTATGTGGGTTTGGATCTTTTCAGGCAAATGAGCCACAGGAGTGTCGTTTCTTGGAACTCGATGATTTCTTGCTTGGCGCAGAGTGGGCGGGATGGTGAAGCTGTAGTACTTTTTGGTCAAATGCGAGATCAGGGGTTTGAACCGGATGAGGCGACTGTGGTGGCGGTGTTGCCTGTTTGTGCTCGTTTAGGCTCTGTTGGTGTTGGGCAATGGATACATTCTTATGCAGATTCTAGAGGACTTTTGCGAGAAGTTATTTCTGTGGGGAATTCACTCGTAGATTTCTACTGCAAATGTGGGGATTTAGGATCTGCTTCTAGTATTTTTAACCGAATGCATCGCAAAGATGTTGTTTCCTGGAACGTGATGATTTCAGGTTTGGCTTTTAACGGGGAGGGTCAACGTGGGGTCGAGTTGTTTGAGGAGATGGTGGAGAAAGCGATGAACCCCAATGAGGCGATTTTCGTTGCGGTTTTAGCATGTTGTGCGCATGCAGGTTTGGTAGAAAAAGGACGGCATGTGTTTGCTTTGATGAATCGACGTCATAAAATTAGGCCTAAACTTGAGCATTATGGATGTATGGTTGATATTCTTGGCCGAGGTGGATGTGTGAAGGAGGCTCATGACCTGATCAGAAGCATGCCCATTAAGCCAAATGCCGCTTTATGGGGATCATTACTCAGTTCTTGCCGTACCTATGGAGATTTGGAACTTGCAGAGATTGCACTTAACGAGCTTATTAATCTTGAACCATGTAATTCTGGTAATTACATTTTGTTGTCAAATATGTATGCAGAGGAAGGAAGATGGAATAAAGTTGAAAAGGTCAGAGATTTGATGAAGGAAAAATGTGTCAAGAAAGCGTCTGGACAAAGTTCTGTTGGGTTCGGATGATTAAAACATGCTTGTGTGACATGAAAGTCTCTTGTTTTTGGCTGGAATTCAATGTTCATGTAGTCGATATTTGTTTCATTACTTTCTGGTGAGACAACCATAACAGTGTAAAAAGTTGACATTTGGGAAGTAGAAGACGTATGCATCTGTTAGGTTCCCAATCCCTTAGGCCTATTTTTAATACCCCTACGCAGATCACAATAAGGATGGAATGGAAATTCAGCCCAGTGTTGGTCTGGTTTTTCTTGTATTATCTGGAAAGCAAAGGAAATACAGATAGAGGGGGAATTCGAGGACCCCGAGCCTCCAAAGACAACGATTACAGCAAAATTATCCGATGCCCTTCCTAACACTTGGTAAGGCTATTTATTCTACTCTTCTCTCTCCTAAGATGCCATTCCCCTAACGGTATCGGCACCCTCACCAATCCCAATCTGCAGATCGAGAATCCTAACAGAATTGCTCACCTCGAGACTAAACCTCCTTCGAATTACTATTCTGCCCTTGCGTATCATTCTTCCTTTTTCTAGCATAAACAAACCTAATGGGAGGAGACCTATCAGCATCGCATAGCCTCTATGGTGTTCTCTTCTGGTCTAAAATTTATGAAACTGAAGAATTGAGAGTGATAGGCACAGGAAATATACCCAAAACCATGGTTTTTCCAATTACTATAGGATTACAATGCTAAATGCTAATGCTTCTCTGGCTCTTTCGCTTCTCACTTTTCTTTGGGGTCATAAATGTCCGGTTTTATTCTTTCAGTGAACCTCTCGAGGCTGTTTCAGTTTTACAAGTTAGGCATCTATTTAAACCATAATCTCTTTCATGAATCTTCAATAGGATACATTGCACTATTTACCTCAAAGTACTTCAGAATCAGGAATAGTGATTTGGCACTTTCTGACTGTGGAATTCAGAATTATCGTTTTCAGAGAAGACATGAACTTATCAAACTTTATCGATATACTGTGGCTTCTTACGTACACATTGTACATTCACCAAAATCCAGCTAGTAATAGACCACAAAGTAAGCATATATAAATTTTTGGATAGTTAGTATCTTGATAATTTCCATTGTGTTTCTTATGTAGTACAAAGCCAAGCATGTTTGTCAACTCCGTATATAAATCTAAGCGCACCCTTTTGATTTTCCCAGCTAGAGAAACAGGATCGGTACATCCTAGAAAGCAGTGCTCAGCTTGGCAGTAGGTTAAGCAATTGCACTTCACCTTGTTGGAAATGTCAGAACAAGATGAAGACAGACCACCCTGAAATCACCAACACATAGAAGACGATCGATCTCTTCAACCTTCCTGTATTGCTTGTTTCACCTTGTGCAAATCCTCCGAAGTTGATTATCCCTACATCACAAAGAAACTCTCCTCAAATTTAAGATCTCACTTTTGTGAACTTGTCTAGTAATTTCCAGAACTTTTTCCATGCCTAAGTCCATATAAAACTTGGAAGTATAAAGATTTTAATAGATTTTAAGATGTTACTTGATGATAATTTGATCTGAATTTCTTTTCGATAAATTTAACGTTCACCTCGTTGATGGTTGTAGGTGCAGCCAAGGTTGATTGCGCCTCTTATGTCGCGTACAGTGGCCTTATTTAGAACAAGAAGTTTGAGACAATATTGTCAACACAATTGAGCACCAATTGTGTCTCAGTCAGGCAAGGTCAATTGCAGAACAAGTCAAGTGCTTGAGGAGGGACATTGATGCTTCCACTCTGGTCTAGTCTATAGGCCTCATTACAACCAGAATATATCTTAACAAATAAATGGTTGAATCAAGTTAGGGAACAAAAATGAAAAATCAAGTATGTTCTTTAAAAAATGAAAAAAAAAAAAGAAAAAAAAATGAAACTAAATATGTGATTAATTTCTACTCACAAACTTGTCATTGAAACAGGTCAAGGCTTTCTCAAACATTTGTACCGGATTGTCCTCTGCTACATATCCTGTTATATATTCCAATCTTCAACGTATACGTGACATTTGTTCAACTTAAAACGTTTAAAAGGTATAAACAATGGTTTGAATAGCTAATTTCTTGGTCTTAAACACGTTCAACATAAGTGTTACGTGAGATAAATGTTACGCTTTTTACTTCTATTTATTACATATAAATTGTAATATGATCCCGCCATATGTGTATATGCGTGTGTTAAGGAAACGAATCAACAAAATATGATGATAACGAGGATACTGAAAGCTGGGAAGCAAAACGACACGTCGTTTTCATGGAAAGCAAAATGACACGTCGTTTTTCATGGAAAGCAAAACGACACGTCGTTTTTCATGGGAAGTAAAATGACACGAGTCGTTTTTCATGGGCAGCAAAATGACACTTGTCATTTTTCGAGCTAATCAAAACAACATGTCATTTTTCATGGGAAGAAAAACGACACATCATTTTTCATTGGCACCAAAACGACACTACGTTTTCCATGGGCAGCAAAACAAAACGTCATTTTTCATGGGATAAACCCTAAACCTTAAACCCCAAACCCCAAACCCAAAAACCCAAAAACCCTATGTAATGACTGAGAAAATCTCAGACTTTAAATAATACAATTTATTTATTTAAGCCAAGGATTTTTCTAGAAAATATTATGTGACGAAGGATTTATGGAATTAATATCTGTATTCCTAAATTTTGTAGCAGATTTCATGTTAAGTTCATGTTTCGATCAAGTAAATTCGATCGATAAATTCTCGCCGTACATTAAGGCAGAATAATTTTCAATACAAGTATAGTTTGACAATCTTAATTTCAAGAATCTCCAAGTACAACATGATGTTAGCAGCATATAAAGAAACACACTGACATTTTAAAAGAAGAGAAAATCCTTAATTGCCAGACAGCTAGGTTAAAGTCACAAGTTAAATACCCATAGTAGAAAGGTACAAGTGAGCTCGGGAGTTGACACCGTCAGAAACAATGTCATTCCCGGGATATAATGCAAAAAGGTTAAATTTAGAATTTGTTCAGTCTAGTCAAGACTTGAAACAGTTCAAGATATTACGTGAGTAAGAATTTAATGTGATCTCAAAGTAATCAAGGATTTAACATTGAACTGTAAATAAGCAGGAGAAAAGGAGCCGTCAGAAACTAGAATTTCCAAAGTACTTCCTTACAATCAGTATGATTTTTATCTGATTCAAAAGAAACTTAAGAGATGAGACAAAAGTACAAGGGATTATTTAGGATTTGGTAGGATGACATATGTGATTTGATGGGGGTAAGTGAAGATAAATCATGATATATGTGATTTGATGGGACTTAGTGAAGAGAAATCACGACCTAGGTGATTTGATGAGAGTTAGTGAAGAGAAATCATGACCTATGTGATAAAATTTCTCCTCTCCTTTTCCCCACACTAGAACCGGCCAAGCTTAGGAAATGAGAGCCAAAATTGGCTAGTTGAGTGTGCCAGAAGGTTATAAGTTAAGGTGTGATGTAATGGTGGTGGTTGAAGGGGAAATCATGGCATATTTGCTTCAATTTTTCTCCACCAAGAACCGGCCATGATTTAGGGGAATTGAACCAAAATTTGGTTGATTGAGGGAGTTGAGGTGGTGTTAAAAAAAAATAATTTCCAAGTTGCCTATAAAAGGAACCATCATAGGATAAGCCTCATTTTTTCTCTTTTCCTTTTTCCCACACTACTCCTCCATTCTCTCTCAAATATTTTCTCCCACTCTCCCAATCTTGAGCCACTAGCAAACCATAGAAGAAGAAGAAGGAGATCAAAGGGTCTAGGAGGAGACTAGTCAGGCATTCCCCCAAGGGTAAAGAAACTATAAACCCTTTCTTTTTATGTTCTAGTGAAGTTTGAGATGTATAACTATTCTTCTCAAATTTTCTTATACTCCTCTAGTTCCAAGCCATTAACAAACCTTAGAGGAAGAAGAAGGTGATCAAAGGATCCTAGGAGGAGCCTAACCAATGACTTTCTTCAAGGGTATAAATTCTAAAACCTTACTCTCTATTTTCTATTCTAGCAAAGTTTAAGTTTGAGAATCCATTGATGTAAATTTGTGATTCTCAAATAAATAAGTTTTAATAAGGGTGTGTGAGTTTTATGTTGGTTTTGTGAGTTTGAGGTTAGTTTGATTAGCAATATGTGGTATGTTTATGTTTGGTTGAAGTTGCTCATTTTCTGTTGGAGGAAAAAATTTTCCGGCTACTTTGAACGCGAAAATGAGGACCCTAGAGCGAGATTTTTCGATGTTTCAAAACTTAAACTTATAGCCCTCGATGTTTTGAACATTTTCGGTTACTCTGACAAAACCCAATTTTAACTCTAAAAGTAAGTTTGTAGCCATTTTACAAAAACCGGACAGGCTGTCCAACATAGTTTCAAAAAGAAAATTTTTGCTACAGCATTACTATAGCATTCGCAGCATTTTAAAAGATTGCTGTAGCATTTCCTATAGAAAAAGAAAAAAAAACAGCAGCCAATGTTTTCAGCCAAACAAGGCTTTTAGAAGCTGAATTTCAACTTTCACCAAAAATGACAATTTTAGATCTCGACGAGACGAAGAATTGTCAGGAAGAACACATTTTTGAAATCTGACTCTATGATGCAGTAAAACACAGATTTCAGAAACTGCACAGTTTTAACGAAACAAAACTAATACAGTGTTGGTTTTAACAAAAAGTTATCAAAGAACCCGAGATGTGATTTCAGTAAAATACTATAGTGTTAAACCTCATTTTAACAGAAGTATTTGTAAAGAAAGTTTTCAAGAAAAAAATACTTTCTTTTAAAGAACTTAGTGGTTTATCGAGCAAACCATCTCGACAGGCACCTACAAGCCAATACGATAGGTCCTTAGAATTTCGAAGGTTTGATGTGGGTCCAACGCCTGCATTAATTTAAGAGACTCTGTTAGAGTATAAATTTCAGTGGCCTAAGAGTTAGAATGTCATGTATAAGTTTTAGGCCGAATTGGGCCTTAATATCATAATAAGCCCAATGAGGAAAATTATGGAGAATAAGTTACTAGATTGGGTAAATGATTTTCAATCTAGACATAAGTACATTAAGGGCAATTAAGGAAAATAAGATTTTGAGAA